TTCACTTATCAACACGTCTGGACTCAGTACTTTATACCCTCCCTCTCCAGCAACTCCATTTACCTGCTTTGGGATAAGTACATATGAGAAGATCATCAGGCCGAGCTTTGAAGCCCCATAAGTCACCCCACTCCTCTGCCGTTGCACTGACCAAAGGGACTCCCTTGACCTCCACCAGTGAAGAGCGCTTGATGGACTTGGGGTCCAGCGCTTCCAGCCCAGCTCTGAGTTCCATCACCTGGCAGGGCAGGAAAATAGAGAGGTGATTATGCGTGAGCCTTTTCACCTGACTTGCTCCAAAATTATGAATTCCTTGTGCCCCTCCTCCTGACATCACCTATTGGCAGAGCAAAGAGCATAACGACCTACCTACCAGAGTCATCCACTCCTTTCCAGTGGTCAGAACTCCTTTTTCGCCTCTCTCCCTTCCTAAGAATCCTCTGTGACCCAGGAACTGAGTAGGAAGTGTGTTTCAAAGAAAGCACCGGGGGAGTATTTTTCAGGCCAAAGTTTCTCTCAAACAAAGCTCGGGCGTGAAGCCAGAACCATCCCATGCTAACATCACCAGCTGGGTTTTATAACTGGGTAAAACCTCAGCGGGAAACAGGCATGTTTGTTTTAACAATTTTGCGTGATCGCTGCTGATAGAAAACTTTTGGTTTTTATACTACATAATCCTTAAGTTTAAAGTAGCCCCCTTTGTAGAGAATCAAAGTGTCCTGGGGGAGAGTTTGACCTTTGACCTACCATAAACCAAGATAACAAAGGCTGGGCAGGGCCTTTGGTTCATATATGAGTGACCTCAGGGATGTAACCATTTGGGAACCAATGCAGTTAGCAGGTTTAAAAAGAGATGGTGATCCAGCCCCACCTCTTATCATGAGAGGTAGCACACTGTGTGTCGCGTGCCTGCAAACAATAGTGGAGTTTCACGTTGTGGGGCAAGCGCTGCCTCTGCTCTTGTTCTGACACATGGGCCTTTTCTGCATTCTCATTTTCCTTGCTTGTATGTTCCTGTTTCTTCGGGGGGAGGGGGTCTGTTCTGCATGTGCATGTCTGGTGGTCAATTCAATATTACACAGGTTTATGTGGTGGACATGTGAAAAAGCAAAAGTATTTTGGACTGAAATACATGCTGAAATGGAAAAAAATTTGAAATGTAAATTTAAGAAAGAACCAGAAATATTACTTTTGGGACTTAAAATGGAAGAAGTCAATATGGCAAAAAGGACATTGATGTGGTATATGATCACAACTGCCAGAATGACATATGCTCAATGTTGGAAACAAGATAAGGTCCCTGACATTGGGGAATGGATAAAAAAACTACTTTTTATGGTTGAAATGGACAAAATGACAAGGAAACTTAATAACTTGGAAGCAGAAGAATTTTTTGCAGACTGGAAAGACTTTAAAGAATACTTAGAAAAATACTGGGATTTAAAAGACAATTTGATTTGCTTTGATAACTATTGAAAATTAAATGATAGTAGAGAATAGAGAAATGTATAAGAATAACATTTGAAGGATAAGTTACTTATAGATGTATTATGAAAAAGAGAGGTATGAAGTGAATATAAGAACTGAGCTGGAGGTTGGAGCACTGTGGGAAGCCGAAAAGGGGGGGGGGAGAGGAGGAATGGATGTATAACGATGTAAGCTTTTGATATATGTTTACTTTTTTAATATATCCTAATAAATTGTTTTTTAAAAAAATATTACACAGGTATATGTCCATCATATCTTGCTCCAGATTTAAACTGCATGCTTTTATGCCGGACATACCAAGGTGTAATATTGAATTGACCACTAGAGGGAGCAAAATGTGTGTGGAACAGACCCTCCCCTCTACAAACAGGAACTTACAAAGTGAGGCAAAAGAGAATGAGGAAAAGCCCACGAATCTGGCAATAGAGGAGGAGAAGCCAAAACCCGGGGTGCAACATTTATTTTTTGATTAATTTTTTTTTCATTCTTCAGCAGGTGTTATTTACATTGGCTTATCAAAGATGGGTTTCCAGAGTTCTTGGCAAAAATTAGTCGATGATAGATTGCAGAGACTGAGTTTGTCTTTTGAGACTTTAAAGCAAATGGAATACTCCTCTCTGCATGTAAACTGATTAAATCCAGAGTGTTACACTTTGACAAATGGAGCACCAGCTGTAGAGCACGAAGGGTATCCTCCTTGTATAGGGTTGCCAAGTCAACTTACCTTCAAAGCGGGGGGATTCCGGGCTCCGTTGGGAGTTTCCCTGTGCGCGCACAGTGCGCGCATGCCACGACGACGTCACCGAAAGTGACGTCATTGCATCGCCCACGTTGGGGGCGGGGCACCGTGACTCGAGGGAAAACCATAGAGTTTTCCCTCGATTCCCAGAGTGTCCCCCCCCCACAACGTGGCCAGCATGATGATGTCACCTCCGGGTGACATCATCACGCTGGGGACGCCCTCCGGCAGGGGGCGGAGTTCCCCCGGGGCCCGATCCGCTGGCAGAGGGTAACGGACCTCCCGGGTGGGGATTTACCCGCCCCCAGCGGGGGCTTGACAAGCCTATCCTTGTACTACCCGGGTCTCCCTATTCCAAGGACTCTGCCTGTGTATTGTAAATCCTTAATTGTCCCTAAAAGCAGAATACTCTTCACTAAGGCTTAATTAAATGTTTTACCATTGCGGGAGTTAACCGGCAGGCTCCTAGGGATTCCCTTTTCTGAACGATTTTGTGATTGTAAATCAGGGAATCTAGATACTATCTGGCACTTTGTTGATTGTAAGGAGCATGAGCTTGCTAGAGATAAATGGATCACAGTATATATTCAGAAGTGGGGATGTGTCAAGAAGCAGTTACAAAGCCTCTGGCTGATACCAACCCAAGAGTAACTCTTGCTGTGGCAAAAATTTTATCAATGTTTTTAATTGACTTTTATCTGTAATGGTATATTTTATTTCTTGTACTTTGTATTTCTGGTTGCTTGGTTATTTTCTGTATTTTTGGATTGTACAGTTGTGTACCATATGGACTATCAAACTTGTTTGCTTGTGACCCATTGGTCCATGAGCATGAAGTTTAGAATAAAGGAATAAAGGGGAGGAGGAGGAGGAGGAGAGATTGGATTTATACCCCGTCCTTCACTTGGAGTCTCAGAGTGGCTTACAAACTCCTTTCCCTTCCCCTCCCTACAACAGACACCCTGTGAGGTAGGTGGCGCTGAGAGAGCTCTTTCGAGGACTGCTCTTGAGAGAACAGCTGTGAGAGAACTGGTGAGTGACCCAAGGTCACACCAGCAGCTCCATGTGGAGGAGTGAGGAATCAAGCCTGGTTCTCCCAGATTAGAGTCTGTGCTCCTAACCACTGCACCAAACTGGTTCTAATGTTTAACTTTTTTAAATGCTCCTCTTTAACTTTAAAAAACTCTCCTATGAAGCTGATTCTCGATGCACAAAGTGCAGTCATGGTGCTTCTTTGACGCAGGGGCTCACAGCTGCCAGTAAAACACGTGCCTTCTCCTCTGTGGCCCCCACCTTGGGAATGGCCTGCCGGAGGAGGTCAGGAAGGCTCCCACTTTCAGGGCTTTCCGTAAAAACCATGCAAAACTAAAATTATCCAGGAGGGCTTTTCCACTCAGGCAACAGAGTTGCACCATATGAAACAATTCACAAAGTTATTAGGGGACTGTGGTATACACTACTTTGTACAGCTTGCAGAAACTAGGATCCTGCTATGGAATTTACATCGTTGAATGTGTCATTTCCCCTTTAATTTGGGGGGGGGGGATCTGTAATGTATCCAGTCCAGACAAGTCCAGAGACAAATGCAGAGCTTTGCTCCAAGAGACAATGGACTATGCGGATCTTAGCCCACTCCAATCAGGGGGCTAGGTTCCCGGCTGAGAGCCTATGGGACTCTCGGCCACTGTAAATAACCTATAGGGAAGTAGGGGTGTGTTTTGGGTGGCGGTTTCTTGGGGGATATAAGCCGGCCTGCGAGCTGGCCAAAGTCATCTTGTTCCGGATAGAATTAAGTACGCTTTGCTGAAATCACTCTCCATCTGCGTACTTTTCAGAATCGCACTTGTTTTTCTCCAGTTTTTGGAGTGGCTGGAGAGAACGCCCATGTGGACACCCTCCCATCACTATTAAGTGAAGAGGGGAGGAGTGTAAATTTTCTTTTCAGCACACACACACACACACACACCTTAGCCATTCAAAGAGCTTTCCCCCCTTTTCTTGCCAAGCCTAGTTGCACCACTTCAGCCCAGCTTGGCAGGGAAAGGGATACTGAAGAGAAAGGAGGTGGTCAGGACTTGAGTGTAAACACTATTGCACCTGGCCTTCTGCCCATGCCCAACTGGGAAGGGGGAGAGACGGTGGGATGGAGAGTGTGGCAGCAGCGATGCCAGCCTCCAGGTAGAACCTGCAGATCCTCCAGAATTACAGCTCATCTCCAGATTGCAGAGATCAGTCCCCCTGGAGAAAACAAATGTTTTGGAGGGTGGATTCTATGGCATTGTACCCCACTGAGGTTCCTGTCCTCCCCAGGCTCCACCCCCAAGTCTCCAGGAGTTTCCCAACCTGGATCTGGCAACCGTACCCCCCCCCCCCCACCCTGTTAGGAACAGGTGTGGGTGTGGATGCTGTTGCTGTCTGTTCTAGCACTGTTCTGCTGTTGCTGTGTCCAAGGCACATTTCTGGGGGATGGCCATTGGCGGATGGCACAGACAGTGGGAGGGACAAAAGTCTACTGTGCACTTTAGACAGAAATGTTTGTGGTTTACCAAATGGTTTATGGAAGGGGCACTGAAACGGAAATACTAGGAAGCGAGTCCCTTTATTTTCATTAAACTAATTTCACAAATGGAAACACAAAGGCGATTATTTTAAAAGGCCACAGACGAACTTCAATGTGTTTGGCCCTTGCTTGTGGCTTCATAACTTATTCTGTTTAAGGCAGACCCAATTTATAATCCAGCCAAGTGTGGGTGGAATTTTCCATGATGAACAGAAAGATGTGCTTAGAGCTCCGTGCGGAAGGTCAGGCCGCTGCCCCCCAGTTCTCTGGCACAGACTACATCTAGGTGCTCACTTTGAGCCACTGTGAAGTGGTCCTTCCAGTCTCCCACAGTGCCTGCAGGAGGTAAAAACAAACCAAGAAGCAAAATCAGCAAATGTGTCTCCTGTGATCCTCTCCTACTCTTCGAATTCAGTGAATTTCAGATTTTCTGTGTTAAGAGAATGCTGTTCTTTGTTGTTGTTTTTTAAAACAAGTTTTATTATTTGGATATATCGACATATTCAGCATTGTAACTTTTCTCTCAACATATACCCTTTTCTCATTTCTTCTACCCCACCCTTCTCTTGGCCTCCCGCAATGCTCTCACCCCCTTATGTTATTCTTTAAATCCAAAACTTCTTATTCTTTTTCTTATTTTTTCTTTCTTTCTATTCATCATTTATAACCTATTCATTATCTATTTCTCAGGTAACATTTTACTTTTACAACCTTTTCAATCAATAGTATTCTGTTCTTAATAACTATCAAAGCAAAGTAAATTATTTTTTACATCCCAGTTAGTCTCTATGTATTCCTTAAAATCAATCCAATCTTCAATAAATTCTTCATCCTCCTTGTTATTAAGTTTCCTTGTCAGTTTGTCCATTTCTGCCATGAAAAGCATTTTCTTTATCATTTCTAACCAGGCATGTTCCAAGATGGCTCTCTTGGGGGTTTTTAACAGCTTCTAAGGTGAATATTGGAGCTGCGGTGGCTCAAGTGGATAAGACGCTAAACTGCAGGCTGTGGAAGGTCGGTAGTTCAGGAGTTTGAGACCCAGGTTGCCGCGTGACGGAGTGAGCTCCCGTCTCTAGTTCCAGCTCCTGCCAACTTAGCAGTTCGAAAGCAAGAAATTGCAAGTAGATAAATAGGGACCACTTCAGTGGGAAGGTAACAGCGTTCCGTGCACCT